TGTTTTTCCAACAACGGAAAGTAAATAATGAAAGTAATTTGGTTCTTGCGCTTGAAGGAAAACATCGATCATTTCAGACTCTTTCATTGGCGGCTTAACCCTAGCAGCTTGCTCCCTCCACCTAATAGCATATTCACGAAAATTTTCAGTGGTCTTCTTCCTCATGTTGACAAGTGAAGTGCGATCTGGAACTATGTCAATGTTATATTGAAATTGTTGAATAAAGCATCGAGCCAAATCATCTCATGTATGCCAGTTAGAAGTATCTTGGTCTATGAACCATTCTGAGGCAATTCCTATCAAACTTTTCCCAAAATAAGCCATGAGCAATTCTTCTTTGCTTCCAGCCACTCTCAATTGATTACAATATCTCTTTAAATGAGCTACAAGATCTCTATGTCCATTATATTTCTCGAACTTTGGAGTTTTAAAACCGATGGGCAGATGAACGTGGGGAAACATGCATAAATCATTGAACGAGACACTTTTGTGACCTCTCAATCCTTGCATATCTCTTACACTCTGTTCCAAACCTTTCATTTTTCTAGCCATTTCTTCATGTTCTTCGTTCTTAACAATTTTTTCAGCTTCAACATGGGAACTATACTGATGAGTGTGAGGGTAAGAGCTTGAAATTTTAAAAGTCAATTCAGGAGTATAATCTTGATCATAATGAACTTTGGGTAGAGGATCGTTGTTGAATTTTGGCTCCATTATAGGTTGTTGAATGACATTAATTGGCGCAATTGGAATGAATAGTGGATTACTTGTCATAGGCGTATTCAAAGGGTTCACCGTAGAAGTTACAGCTACATTGGATGTGGGTTCGAATCCAGGTGGATAAATTGGATCACTTATCGATATTTGGACAGGGGATGACATATTTGTATTTAGATAGTCACGGATTGAAGGCGATTGAGTTTGTCCACTCATCCAAGCTTCGTACATCTCCGTCATTTGTTGTCTTAGTATCCTTATCTCTTCGACTGACACTGTTTCTTGTGACATCATCTGGTTCTAAACCTCATCATTGTCTGACTCATTTCTATCTTTGCGAGTCATTTTCTTTTGCCCTTTTGACCTTGTATTATAGGGATGAGATACCAGCTTAACCACAAATCAACCACCTTAATTTAACTGTGCATAGATAATAATGTTTGTTAGGGTTAGACCTTCTTCAGTTATAATTTTTTTTTTTTTAAAGAAATAATTCATTGATCAAATCCGTTTGAGATTGCATACGTAACACGCTTGCGAAGATTTTTGCATATTTTTTCAAAAACTCAATAACTAAGCTTTTCTTTTTTAGAGCTTTGAGATAAAATTCTTTAGTTTTTTTTATTATTAGAATTATTAAAAGAAAATTAATAAAAACTTATTTTTGATAAATATTAAAGCTTCTTGTTTTCCATTTTTTTTTGAACTTTTGAAAAACGATTTTTTATTTTTCATTTTTGAATAAAGATCACCGAACCCAAAGATGGTATCTCATTGAGGTGAGAATCAGGTGTGCGTAGTTCGTTCAGATTGGACAGTAAAAAAAAATTTAAGATATTAATATTTTTTTTACAAATGTAACTTTTCAAAGTATTATGAAAGTAAAATATTTTGAATTTTCTTTTTACAAACTTTATGAAAAAAAATCTAAATAAAAATATTATTATTCTTTTCATTAAGTAATGCAAATTTTTTATTTTATTTTAAGAAATGTATAATAACTTCTAAAACAAGAAATATTTTCGTGTTTTTTTTTTCTTTTTTTAAATAAGATCAAAAGATTAAAAAAATAAAAATTCATTGCATTAGTCATACTAAAATGAGTCAACTTATAGAAACTTTCAAATAAATGCATTTTCATGTAGCACATAAAATGAGCTAAGTGATTAAGTAAGAGATGGATACTTGTCTTGGACGGATCCAACTCTTGTTTTGAGGCTCACTAAGTCACATGAATCGAAGTCTTCTAGGGATAACCGTGTCTATGTTCTAGTTTTACTAGGTTCAAACCGAAATAAGATAAGTATCTAGACTGGCTTACCCGAGTAGACAACTCGAGTCAAGGAGGGGCAACTTATCGGTAGCAGCGCTATTCCGACTTCATTGCTGGTGCAACCTTGCCTAACATTTGTGACTAAAATCCTTCACTGGGTGCCCAGACACTCCAGTTTTATCTCAAAAGAAATTTGGATGCATAACTGCATTCCCTACTACCTTATCTTTAGAGACTCAGATGGTGTACGAGAAGATAAATTATATATAATTCAACAATATCAAAATGATAAATGAGCAACAAGTAGCACATTAGGTCATCAAAACAATATATCCAATGAAATAATATAATAAAATAAAGTAAAAGTAAAAGTCAAATATACAAAACTCGAATTCTAGTTATTCCCCAGCAGAGTCGCCAGAGATGTCACACCCCTTTTAGCGCATAGCGGCGGAAGGGTTTTTCCAATTTAAGTGACGGTATTGATTTAGGGATTATTTTATTTTCATTTCAGAGTCGCCACTTGGAATTGAGTTATGGTGTTCCAAGTCACCTTTTGTTTAATCCCTAATCAAAAGAAAATGACTCTTTATATGGTATGCGAACTAGAAATTCGGGTAAGAAATTCTGTTGACCGAGGGGAAGATATTAGGCATCCCTCGAGTCCCGTGGTTCTAGCACGGTCGCCTTTATTGACTTTTACCTACTTTAAATCATTTGTGGATATATTATTTTCAGGTCATGACTTGTTTGCATTTTTATTGTTGAACTTTTATTTGGTCTCAAATCGGATGCATAACTGCATTCTCGACTTTTGACATATAAATAGCTTATGAACATAATTGTTTTCTTCTCTCGAGTGCATCACCTAATTTTATCTATAAGTAATCTTATTTTAAATTAATGAAAGTTATTATATTTTTAAACAAGGTGCATCACCGCATCCTTGAGGTTTTTTTTTCAATGTCTCAAAAAAAGATGCGCAACCGCATTCTTAATTTTTTACAAATATTTTTAACGTGCATAAAACTCATCTAGTATTAAAAGTACTTACTCTTATTTTTCTGAATTCTAGACAACTAATCTTCTCATTTCATTATTATATTTATTGATGATACTTTTAATTAAATTAACCCACATGTTAAAATATATATTAGAATAATTTTATCAAGGTGTGTCACCACATCTTTGAATTTCTTTTAAGTGTTTCAAAAAAGATGTGTAACCACATTCTTAATTGAAACAAATACTATTTTTTGTTTACATGCGTAAAACCCGTCTAATGTTATAAGAAAATATTAAATAAAATCAAATAAAATAAAACAAATCTAAACTTCTAGGATACAATATAAATTTTGGATTATCTTATATTCTTTTATTTTTATTCACCCTTAAAGTTAATGTTAAAATTAGGCCTACGCATCTTATATTTTTTTTATTTTATTTTTTTAGTCTTGAAGTTAATGGCGAAATTAGGCATACTCATATTGTACTTTTTATTAATCCAACAAAACAATGACGAATTGCTAAAATAAATCTCATTCTTTATTTAATAAATAAAACAACAATAATTTTGTGAACCCAATAATTCCTACTTTATCATTATTAGCATCGAAATCAAGAAAAGAACAACATCATGACCCATTCATTTTAAGACATCACAACTAGTGAACAAAAATAGATAAATAAAAATAATCACCAATAAAGTTACTTTCATTCATTAAAGAGATATAACACTTGACACATTCTTCATTTTAATCAAATTATGAATAAAATAAAAGTGTAAGAAAACTTATCATAATAATTACATCAAATTCCATGAATAAATGAAATAAGAAGATAAAGTAAAGTTGAATACCGCAAAATCTTAACCGAAGCTCGATTAGAACACCCATAACTTTTGTAGGTTATTTGTGATGGTATATGTGTTTGTGTTGATATGAAAAAAAATGGGTAAGGAAGAAAAGATGTGAATGTGTTGGTGAATTTTTCAAAAGGATAATCAAATAAAATGGGAAGACTTTTCTTCTTCTTTTTTTCTCGTGTAATGTGTTGTTGTTTTTTTTGTTTCTGTCCGTTCTCTTTATCTTTTTTGTGTGTGTATGTTGGTATATGTAGTAGTAGTAGTAGTGTATCGTGTGAGTATGTGTGTGTATAGTGGGGGGATTAGTGGGGTAGTGGAGGAGTATGTGGGGTGAGGGTAGGGGTAGTGGGGTAGTGAGGTAGTGTGGGTAGTTTAGGTTATTATATTTATTAAATTAAATATATATATATATATATATACCATAATAATAAAAATATTAATTATTTATTTTGAATTTATAAAATATGAGAAAAGTCAAATAGCTAGTCTAAAAATATAATTAAGAAACACTAGCTTATTTATTAAATCTAAATGAAAACATATATTTTTTGTAGTTTTTCAATCTTTTAAAATAAACTTACTAAAATACGATGAAAAATAAAATATTTAATTTATATATAAAAGCAATATTTATGTACTAAAAATAGTGTAATACCTTAAATTCGGTAAAAAATTACGTGTCTACATCTACTCCCCACCTTTCAAGTTCCAACACACTCCACTTTCAGCCCACCTACATACCCTCCCCCCCCCCCCAACTCCTACCCTCCACCCCGCTTATATAACATTTTCCTAAATTATATATAAAATACTTTTAAGAAAATATTTTTGTTAATTACTTATCAAACACTAAAAAATAAATAAAACTTATTTGTCTTTTAGGAAAATATTTTACAAGAAAATATGTTTTAGCAATTTCTTTTCTATTTTATCCCCAAAAAAACGGATCAAGAATTCCTTTTGATATGTTGTTAACCAATCCAAAGCCATAGTTCATGCTAGTACCAATCAAGTTGTTGAATTTTGTCCTCCATAAGTTAGAAAATGTATCCATTTAGCTCACCTTTGAACACATAAATCCACCTATATATATATTTTCCCACATATCAAATCATTTCATCATAATTTGCATTCAATTACTACCTTACTTCATAACACAAACATAAATCTCAAAATTAATTAACATGGCTAGCAAAGACTTCTATAGCAGTGGTAAAGTTCCCGGCCAAGCTCAGGTATACTCGATTTATATACTATTATGCTCACTTTACCTTTAGCGAAGCAATCAATTTCATGTCTCATTACATTTACTTTTTACATGAGATCTGTAAAATATAACATAAGAAATTGATGAATAAGACATAGAAGATATTTCAAAATTTATTTAACTGTAACTGATTATAAAAGATCATTTTTTCTTTCTGGAATTTGCACAAGTGACATTATAATTTTTTATCATAATTCGATACATTTAATTAAATTCTTGCAAAGTAGTTTTAGATGACACAATTCTATATAGTAATAGTAAAGTAACTTTTTTCCCATCAATTGCAGATAAGAAGGGATGAATCGACAGACCAAGGCCAAGTAACCAATTTGATTCAAGAGGTAGTAACATAACTCTACCATATGTTAGTGTATGGGTGGCAAAATGAGCCATTGAAAATATTACTTTATCTAATTTGATGTTTATGATTTATCTATTTATTAATTCAGCCTATTTTAATCAGTTCAATTTTCACCAATTTAAAAGTAGTAATTGATTTGTGTTAAGTATGTAGTCTAACTGTATCAAAATATTTAAATAAAGATAGGAGAATTTTTTATTAATTTTATTTGGTTATTAAATAAAATATAGAAGAAAATAAACAATAAATTTAAATTCAACGAGTGTTAGGAAGGTTGGATTATTCTTGACCGAATTCAGTTCAACCTAAGTAACTTTTCAACGGGTGCTGAAATCATCCATATATTGATTCAACCATATTTAAGCCAACATATTCAATCTGAACCACTCATTTACAAACCCTCATGTTAGTACGATATTTTGTTAATTTTAGTAATAAATTAAAGGGAAAAGGTCTGAAATATATTCGAACTTTGACCGAAATTGTTGTAATAATATCGAACTTTGGAAACGACCTTTCACCCCCTGCACTATTTAATAGTGTATTTTAAAGGTATATATGTACCCACGTGGACATCATAAATATTGCATCATTATAAATAGTAACGTGTCCATGTGGGCCCATATATACCTTTAAAATATACTATTAAATAGTGAAGAGGTAAAAGGTCATCCATAAAATTTGGTATCGTAACAGCAATTTCGGCCAAAGTTAAAATATTTTTCAGACTTTTTTCCCTAAATTAAATATGTCTGATAAGTGGTTGATGATTGAAGACCGGAACACAAGTGAAGAACATGGCTCAAGGAACAGCACAAGGAGCGGCTAATGTGGCTCATGGAGCTGCAAATATGGCTCAAGGAGCAGCACATGGTGCTGTTAATGTGGCTCATGGAGCAGCACAAGGTGTAGCTAATGTGGCTCATGGAGCTGCAAACATGGCTCAAGGAGCAGCACATGGTGCAGTTAATGTGGTTCATGGAGCTGCAAATATGGCTCAAGGAGCAGCACAAGGTGCAACACAAGGTGTATCTAATGTGGCTCATGGAGCTGCAAACATGGCTCAAAACACTGCTGAAGTTGTAAAGAACACTCTGGGAATCAATCACCCTAGCAACACCACTACAGGCACTGCTTCTGCTGACAATATTATCGAAGGCGGATCTAGGATTTAAAGTTTGATGCTGAGTGGAACATTTTTCCTAATGCTAAAATATTTTTTTTAATTTCGTCTTTATTTTTGTTATTACTATTATTTTAAACTGTAAGCTGTAGCAACTATGGTTTGTTGCTAGCTAGCATGCACACTACAACAATATTTATCTAGTTGTACTATTTCCAGCTTTCCTAGAAAATTATATAACTTTTAGCTATTATTGGAATTAAGTTAGCCAAGATTTTGCGTTTGGCACGAGTAACCTAAAATATTTTGCATCTAGTAGTTAAAAATTCCAAAACTAATTATAAGTCATTATTCCATCTTTTGTCAAATCATCTTGTTTCATGCGTTTTTGATTGAACATTCGAGTCTTAATTTGGTGAATAGTTGTAGAAAATTTTGAAGAACCACCATTGAAGGTTTAAATCGAGATTGATTTTTTTTTCATTCCCGATTATTATTGAACTCAGTCACTATGGTGTAGAAGATATTCAAGAATAAGGAAGAAGAATGAAGAAGAGAGAAGATTTCTTATTGATTCAATGGAGAGTTTAGAGAAAAAGTCTTAACTTTATTAAGAGTGCATTTGGGATCTTTATAACTAACTAATTCTAACTATCTAATTATATAGGCTTATCAGTTTATTGGGCCACAATTTACATCATTCTGTCCAATATCCCCCTCAAGCTAAGAGTGGTAAACAAATTATTTGGACATGAGAACTTCATGTTGTGGTCTGCTTAGGCCTTTTGTAAGAATATCAATTGGCTGGGATCTTTAGTTGATATGTATTCTGTTCTAACCAATCATTTCTGAAATTCTTCTCGACAATCAATTTCAATATGTTTGGTTCTTTCATGAAATACTGGATTGACAGCCATTTGAATTGCTAACTTATTATCACTGTAAATGTATACCGATAGTTATAGCTGTACACCAAGATCCTTCATTAATCCAATCAACCAAATTAGTTCAGACATTGTGGTTGTCATGCTTAATTCTATATATATTCAGCCTCTGTTGAACTTCTTGAAATACTAGTATTTTGCTTGTTTGACTTCCATGAGATGAGTGAATCACCTAGTTGTACAATAAAACCTATAACTGACCTTCTTGTGTGAAAGAGCATAATGCCTAGTCAGCATCACAAAATGCTGAAATTATCTCTTTCTTGTTGCTAGACATGAGAATTCCTAAGCCTACAGGTTGTTGTTTGATATTTTTGACTATTCTGAGAGCTACTTCCATATGCGATCTTTACGGTTGCTGCAGAAACTGACTAAGTGTTTATAAACTATATATTATATCAGGTCTTGTTACAGTTAGGTATAACAATTTTTCAATCAGCCTTTGATAACTTGCATGATCCTCTTATCAATAAAAAATAGATATATAATATATCGAGGGGATAAAAAATAAAAAAATCATTTATTTTTAATGGGTCATATATAACACAATCTATATTATTTGGCATCTAGTAGCTAACAATTCCTAAACTAATTATAAGAGTCGTTAGTCCACCTTTGGTCTAATCATCTTGTTTTATGCCTCTTTGATTGAACATTCGAGTCTTTATTTGGTGAATAGTTGTAGAAAATTTTAAAGAATCACCATTGAAGGTTTAAATCAAGCTTGAATTTTTTTCATCCCTGATCGTCATATTTTGATGGAAAATAATATATGTTTTGTTAAGGGGTCAAATCTGTTGGTGTAGATTTTATATGTTAATCCAATACCACTTCCATTTATTATTCATTCTAAGGAAAGTTTCTTAATAACAAACTAAGAATGGTCTTATAGTTCCTTGTGCTCCAGTGAAAAAGTCCCTTACTTCGACATCTATATAAAAGTGTATTTGTGTGTTGCACGTAGAGTTTATGAGAAAGATAAACTAATAAGGTAAATGACTACTTATCATCCGTTAAGAGTGGAACCAATTCAATAATATATTTCCACGAGAAACTTCAATATGTCAATAAAGTGGTGAAAAGAGAATCACATATAATGATCTTCTTGATCGTTTTGTAATTTTGCGAATTTTCCATGTTTTACCTTTTTTCATAGCTTATGTTTGGCGTTGCGGCCTGTACAGATGTGTGACACAATTTACGAGGTGATTGAATGGGTATTGGGTGATTTTTTAGTTTTGAAGGTCTGAAAATTGAGAAGTTTTGATCCAAGTCAATATTTCAGATAAAGTACGGAATCATAATGAAATTTCATCAACTTCGTTAGATCCAAAATATGACTTTTGAATTAGTTGCATAATTAATTCGGTCCCGAGGTATTCATGAGTGATTCAAGTTGTTTGTTGAAAATTTAAAATTCAAAATACTTGAATTGACTTTAGTCAACATTCTATCTCCGATATAAATTAAGTACTTATTCAACATTTATGTACCTAAATCCAGGTCACATTTCAAATCAATAAAGCTACCAAAACTATCATCCATTTGAACATTTCAACATATAATCGCCAAATTAATATATTATAACAACAATTCTGAATAAGTGTTAAACCAAGAAGCAGTAATTAACTTCTAGTTTAAGGAATATAATTGAGTGGGACATATTCCATTTGTGATGTTGTGTGAAGATTATGTGTGGAGCAAGACCTAGCCATCTCCCCAACAAGTGGAATGATAGGAAGTTTATCACAATTGCAAATTTCAACCATAAATCCATCTGGATCATGGAAAAAGAGTTGATCCACATATATCCCTCCTTCTTCAACTAGCTGTTTAACGTACTCAATCCCCATTTCTGTAAGCTTCTTCTCCACTCCATCTATGCTCTCACACTGCATGCATGCGTGCAAAGTTTAATTAGAAACAAACATTAGTCTAAATAATTATATGCACTAATATATTGTAAAACCTAAGGTAATTTTGTTTAGTACGTAAGACAGAATTACTACGAGGAGGATCTAGAATTTGAACATGTGTTATTGATTCAAGATCAATTAAAATGCTACTACGACTCATTTGAATTCGATCGAAGTCATAAATCTTTCATTACACCCAACTACAATATGATGCGCTATAACAAGTTAAATTATGAAACTATATGGAGTATATAAGTTTTTCTCTTATATATATATATATATATGTTGTCGTCTTTTTATGATCTCAATTTATATTTTTACGTTTTCCCAAACGATAGTTCTGTTCTTCACGAAAACTAAATAACATTATATATATAAAATAACATGATCATGCATGAACATATTATGCAGAGCTAAGTGGGGTTCATGAGTTCAGACGAACCCAATAACTTTTTCGTAAATCTTGTATTTGTATTAGAAAACTAAATAAATATATAAATTAACTTGTGAACCTCCTAAGTAAATTGACTTGTGGCTTAGTAATAAGAAAAGGGCCATGAAATGCTCTCCCACGATAGAGTTGTGAGTTTGAACTCCATTATCATCAAAAGTTTTTTTTTTGAAATGAAGCATGTTTTGCGATGCTTTCTTTTCTTTAGAACCCAGACTCCTAAGTCCTTATCCCGGCTCTAACTCAAATTATTACTAGTATAGAAATACACAAGTAAACAACAAAATGGAAAAAAAAAAACAAGAACCTGGAAAGATATATGATTGTCTTTGGGATTAATTTCAGTTTTCTTTGGCAATTTTTCTGAATCTTCCAACTGAAGTAAATGAATCCCTATCCCATGACCAAATAACCTATTCGTAAAACAAGAATCCCAGGTCAAAAGTTTGACAAAAAATTGATTATTCAAAATCGAAATATATAGGTCATGTCATATCAATTATATTACTACCTCTGTTTTAATTTATTTGATATATTTTGACTTGATATAAAGTTTAAAAATATTAAAAATAATTTTAAATGTTATGGCTTTAAATTTCATATATGTCAAATATATCAAAATGTAATTTAATCTTATGATCTTAATGATACTACAAAAAGTTGAAATTAAAAAATTATTTTTTAAAAAAAAGAATCATTCTTTTTTAAATGAGCTAAAAAAAAAGGTCAAACAATTTTATTTTTATTTGATCGGAGGTCAAACAAATTGAAATGAAAAGAGGACAAATTAGTTTCTTTTATACTTTATTTTTTTTCCCTTTAATTTGATTAGTATCTGTATATGTATTTGACATTCTTCTACTTTATTTTCTCCCTTTAATTTGATTAGTATCTGTATATATATATTTGACATTCTTCCTTTCCCATAATTAATACTCTCTGCATACCATTTGACGTGGGATGGTTTAACTTGACATAATATTTAAGATTTTTTTAAAAAAATTGTGCCCTATAACAATTAATTAGATATTAATGTGACAATAAGTTAGAAAATTTTAAAATTATATTATTTCTAATTTTAAAAAGCTGATATTCTAAAAGACTAAAAAAAAATAGTGCTACATAAAATGAGACGGATGAAATAATAACGATACGAAAGAAAAGAATGTAAATCGTGAAATTACCAAGCCCATTGAAATTGAAAGATGTAGGTCTTCTTATAGGGATAAATCCAAGAACATTTTTGTAAAAATCAATAGATTCTTCAAGTGATGTACAAACACGGGATATATGATTTAAGGATGTCAAAGCTAGTGGATTTCCATTATTTCCCTTCATCCCTTTTTTTTCTTATAAATCAAATAATTCGGTTTACCAGGGATATAACAATCAAATTAAAGGACAAATTTATTTAGAAGAAAAAAAAAACAAGTTAGAGGGATATATATGGATATTAATGGATGTATTTGAATGTGTAAAGAGGGGAAAATGAGTTTATGTAAATATATAGAAGCCATGTTTGCCACTTGGAATTTGTAAAATCCACGTGTCAAATAAAATAATAACATGACACGTAGATCGTACGTTGGTTGATGAGTTGGACCGTTGCTGTAAGCTAGCAAATTGGACATGTAAAATGTAAGCTATGATATTATTGCTGTAAGCGAGTATATTGGATATGTAAAACGTAAGTTATATTATTCAATGATTTGAATCCTTCTCTACGTAAACCAGTAGAAAATTCTTGAAACATTCCACAAATTTAAGGAAAAACCTATGTTATAAGATATATATTTATATCATATATATTAAGTTTATCTATATTTTTAAATAATTACGTATTTTATCGTTAATTAAGAATTTCTTATCTTATATTAAGGAAGAAACACTTAGATACATGTATTTTTGCAACCAGATACATTGAAATAGGGAGGGAGGCAAGCGAGATAGATATGTATTCCAGACACATGTGAATCACATTAGATACATGTTAATTCGGGGGCAGAGCCACCTTGTCTCTGAACCCCCTTCGACGAATAATTATACAATTTATATATGGTTAAAGTAATTTTACTTTTCTATGTATATATAGTAGATGTCGAACCTCCTTTGGCTAGTTCGTGTGTCTATTTCTTTAGATTTTGAACCCCCTTAGTCAAAATCTTGGTTCCGCCACTACATGTATCGGTGTGATTCACATATATCTAGGATATCAAATACATAAGAGAGTGACGAGCGAGATTTGTTATGAATCTCAGATACATAAAAATTCATTTGGATACAGTGTATCTATAACGTAGCTGGACATATTTGGATACATCAAAATCTAATAAGCTTCGTTATATTACAAACTAGAGCGCGTGTCTCTAAGTAAGTGACTCCTAAACTAGTGGAATTTCAATAAGTTTTCCAATATTTGACCCATAAGTTTCATGTTTTTTTTTTATAAAAAAACTCGCGTGAGGAGAGAAAAAAAAAAAAAGGATTCGATGTACATAGTATTTTTTATTATTACTTACACGTATAACAATTCAAAAAGTGAACGGTAAATTCGATGTTTATTTATGTATGTAAAAGATCCCGAAGTCTTTGTCAACCGTCAACGTTCAATCAGTAGATTGTAAGTAATCCATGTACATAGTATTTATTATTATAATTAATAATAATAATAATAATAATAATAATAATATAGTTATGATTATTAATACTATGATTATGAGAAACTTAAATCAATTTTTGTGAGTATATTTTTTCGTTTGCATTTTATACAATGTTCAATACATTCTCAAAGTTATTAAAATTTTAGTATACTTTGTTTCATCTTATTTTTAAAATAGTTTTTTTAATATAACATTTGTGGGGTATTTATTATATTTTATATTAAGCAAGTATAGAGGGTTCTTGTAGTATACGGAACGAATAATTAAGAGTATACTCATCCAGACACTAACTTCTGAATTTTTAAGTATTCATCATTGCTTCAAATTAAAACTTCTAAAGGGGGTCTCTCAACAAATGGTATTTTTTTGGAGACATTTGTTTATGACAAGACAAAAAGAAATATTGAAGTTAAAAGTGAAAAATAGAAATATATAGCTCTATCATATAAAATTTTGAAGAAAAATACTTTCTAAATCGATTGAGAGTAAATTTTACAAGTCAATCAAATTGTCTGCTATTTCGTTTTCACCATAAAAATAAGAAAAAAATTGTAACTTATAACTTTTTCACATAATTTTAATTTTAAAAACATTAAATTAATTAATATAATTTAATACTAAAAATTAATTAATTGACTTTCAGAAAATAGATAAAACAAGTATTTTGAGATAGAAAAAATAATACTCTCTCTAATCCATATCAAGTGAATTGTAACAATTCGACACATTTCATAAGAAAATTATTTAAGGACATAAATTAAAAATTATTTTTTACTATTATTCAAAAGGGGGCATCTCCAAACCTACCCTCTATTTTACTCTCCAAATATAGAGTTCTCTATTTTTTCAGACAACCAACTCCAACCCAATTTTCTATTATACTCTCTAAAAAAGAATTTTTTTCTCTTTCCTCAATATTATATTATTATTTCTATTTCATTCTTATTTTCTTATTTCATAATATATATCATTTCTTTTTCTTTTTTCCAAAATAATCATTTTATATAATTGTCATGTGATATAATATTTTATTTTTCAAATTATTTATTTAATATAAATTTACATTTTATTTTAAAAATTTTAATAACATAAATTGCAAGCAAGTATTCTATAATATACAAATTAATGGACAATTCAAATAAAAGAAACCATTAATGAAATATAATTACATAAATAATCAACTTTCAAGATTATGACGTTGCTCTCATATAATGCATTACGGAGTTAAAAATGAGCATTTTTTTCCTTAATTTTTTCATGTTTAGCTAAAAATTGTTCAAATAATAGATTTTCAAATTATATTAGTGATATAATTTTTTTTAAAATAGTATTAATTCGAGATGAAAATAGTATATATTAAATAATATATTTTTTAAAATATTATATTATATTTAAATAGAATTACAAATATTAGATATTTAATTTATATCATTATATGTAAAATAAATGTTCATTACAAAATAATAATAAAAAATATTAAAATAATGAAAATGTGAAATAGAGAATACAGATTAATATGGAGGTGGGTTGGAATGTTCATTCTCTATTTTACTCTCCAATTAAGAGAATGGAGAGTAAAATAGAGGTGGGTTGGAGATGGTCATCATTGAACTTTGAAAAAGACATTTATGTCATTCGTTAAAAATTTAGCTCATCTATGTCATTTTCGTTTGAGGAAAAAGCTCATCCATATCATTATTTGTAGATGAGCCAAACTTTTAACGAATGACATAGATAAACCTTTTTTCAAAGTTGGCAGACATATTTGAGTTTTTTTTTCTTTTAGAAAATAATTTAATTAATGACGTAATTGAAACATAATTGACCACATGAAAAAAAAAAATTTGTAAAATTTAAAGTGTTTTTAGTCAACAGATAATGACATAAATGAGTCTTTTTTCAAACGAAAATAACATATATGAGCCAAAATTTTAACGAATGGCATAAATAGACTTTTTTCAATGTTCGGTGACATATTTGTGTCTTTTTCCTTTTGATTATGCCTAATTATTCTACTAGAAAATGTAAAAAGTAATTAAGAAACTTATTCTGTTTGGCCATGCGATATGGTATCATGATATGGAATTATGATATGATATCATAATATGGAATTATGAGATGAAATTGAAGTTTTGTTTGGACATGTGATATGAAAATTTTGTGTTGTACATTTTCTCACAAACATAAGAATCACATAAGTTGTAAAATTATTAAAATAGCTCCAATTATGTATTCAATCTTATCAAATAAACAAAAATTTATAAAATCACATAATAAATTATTACAAAGATATTTGTTCTCCACTTAAGTAACTGTCTCATCTAACTTTAATTAATCAAACTTTAATTCAATAAAAAAAATTGAACATAAATTATAGAGTACTAGTCTTTAATATAATCCTCCCCAATAGTACAGACAAATTCCTCACGTTGAACTTGCATTTCTCGATCATGTGACCGAGAAGACGAACCAACATTGTTACTTTGAGTTGCAATAAATACAAAACGGTAGAAGTAATAAATTAAGTGTTGAAGTCAATGAAGAGAACAAATTTATTACTCAACAATCGATTGGTGTGAGTTAAAGTGACTATATGTTGGAAAGAATAATAAATTTTATGTCGGTGAGAATAATAAATTTTAAAAAGTAATGATGTGATTATAAATTTTACTTACATATGAAATAAATGGTTAGGTAGATATAAATGTGGGTTTGTGTTAACAAATTATAAACTTGTGGATCAATTTTTGTATTAAAATATCTCATATCATGATATGAAATTCTCATATCATGATTTTTGGAGAATATGGAATCACATCTCATGATATGGAATCAGCGTAAAATCGCATGTTTAAACGCTGATTTCATCTCACGATTCTATATCGTGATATGATATCGCATGGCCAAACGCCTACTAAATGAAAGATATATATTTAAAAAAAAGGAAGCTAAGTTGCGCAGATACTTCACTTTCAATACTACACTCATATAAATTTTTTTTAAAATACACTACTTTTAAAGAATCTCATGCATTAACATTTGAAAAATCCAAAAAATATATTAAAAATCCTGATAATTTTCTTGAACTTCGAATAATTCACATATTTTAAATTAAGAAATACTATTTTTTGGAGAATTAAAAAAAGTAAAAAGCAATTATGCTCAAAGACTTAATAAATTAAAAAAATCCTCATATTAATAACCCTTCAACAAATTTAGAAAGTAGTTTTGAGGCCAAAAGTGTCTGGAACCGTCTTATTCACTAAACGGCGTCACTTTTACCGAATGAAGTAGCAAGAAACTTCTCAAAGCTTTGATACTATACTACACACATCATCATTCATCAAGCACCTCCTAGAAACTACTTAATTGAAAAAAAACGGTTATAAAAACGCCTTAATTTTCTCAATTGCTAGAACCCAACAAGCCCATCAGAGTGTTTCTTCTTATTAAATTTAGTATATCAATGTCTTTGGCACGCTTAGCTTTGAAATCAAATCCAAGTGTGAGGCATCTGAATAATAATATACAGAAACAGAGATGGTGCTCTGAACTTGTACGGCGTTTTTCTACAGAATCGGATAAACAACAAGTAGCTGATTTAGCTGCGAATGGAAAATCGGAGAAACAACAAGTAGCTGATTTAGCTGGGAATGGAAAATTGGAGAAACAACAAGT